CATCGTTGGCGGTGTCGCGCAACCCAACAACACGGTCAAGGTGTTGCTTCGACGCGCGGGTGGCCTGTTTGGAGACATTACCTTCACGTGGTCGACGCACGACGGTGTGTTCAACAACGCCAGTCTTGCCTCGCAACGCAATGCATCGGGTGCCATGTCTGACTATGTCGTGGCCAACCAGCAACGCGTCATCTTCCCTGCCGGTGTGGACCGAATGAACCTGAATGTCGTCATTCTCGATGACACGGTGCCCGAGCTGGACGAGTACTTTTACGCTCAGCTCGACGGTGTGCCGATTGGCGGCGCCGTCATCGATCCAGTCAACAACTATACAAACCTCTGCATTGCCCGCAACGACAACCCGTACGGCCTGCTCGGAATCGAACTGCCCAGCCCGATGACCCTTGGTCCGAACGGCCAGCACCGCTTTATTGTGTACGAAGGCGGCTTTGTCAACGTGACCATCCACCGCTACTATGGCACCTTCCACACCGTCTCTGGCGTCGTTTCGCTCGTAAATGAGAACACGACCAACGCCGACTTTGGCAACGTCAACAACATTGCCGTGACGTTCGCCGAGGGCGTGTCTTCCGTCAGCGTGGCGTGGCCAATCGCCAATGACCTTGCCAACGAGCCGTACGAGATGTTTGGTGTCAAGTTGGTCGCGAACGGCGCGTCGTCCGGCCAGGAAGCCACGTCTGTCGTGACCACCAGCTCGCTGGACTCGTATCTGCCATGCGTTATCGATGCGAGCTCGTCGAGCGGTGTCATCCGGTTCCAAGACACATTGCTCTCAGTGGAAGAAGCAGACGGTGCAGCTGTATTCACTGTCGTACGAGAATTGGATGGCGCTGGCGATGTTACCTACTCGACGAATGCGATGACTGGAACGGCACCAGGATCTGACTTTGATGCTTCGAACGAGAACAACACTCACGTCCTGCCCCTCACGGACCGTACCCAGCAGTTCTCCATCCGTGTCGCCGAAGACACCATTCCGGAAGCAGACGAAACCTTCTTCGTTTCCCTGGTGAATGTCACTGGTGCACTCGTCTCGTGGGCCTCGGTGGCGACCGTCACCATTCGTGCAAATGATGATGGCCACGGTGTTGTGGAATTTGCCCCGTCCTCCGAGGTCACGCCTGTCGTGTATGTGGCTTATCAGAATGCCACTCACATCCGCCTTCCCGTTTGGCGTGAAGTTGCCGCACTCGGTCGCATCAACATGACCTTTGAGATTTCGACCAATCGCAGTTCGTCGCCCGACTATCTGGCTCTCTCCACTGTTTACCTCCCCAAGTCCAAAGTCGACATGACACGCGACATTGATCCCTCGACGTACGAAATTGTCCTCGCTGACGGCCAAAATGAGACTGAGATTGTCATTCCCGTGTTTGATACTCCTGGCTATCAAAGCACCAAGTACATGTTTGTCCGCTTGAAGGATATTGGCGGTGGAGCACGCTTCGGTGCGACTCGAGCTGTTGTCGTGCTGATTGTCGACAATGTTCCCGCGCCAAACCCCTCTGGTGCCAGCTCGGTGGATGCTGCCATCTACATCATCATCCCCAGCGTTATCGCTCTTTTCCTGTTGCTTTTGCTGATTGTCGTGCTTCGTCGCCGCAAGCGGCAGAAGCCCGTCGCGGTCGCCCTCATGCACCGAAACGACCCTGCTGTCGGTCAGATTGAGCTGAATCCGCTTCATCAACTGAATGAGGAGCGCAACGATACGTACGACGATGTTCGTCCCGGTGCGCGTGAAGGCCTTTACGACACGCTCGGTGGCGGTGGCGGTGACGGCACGCTCAGCAACCCGACATATGATACCAACGCGACGTACGATTCCCTGGGCGGCCATCAGTCCTCGGAATATGAGAGCATCACCAAGCACTACGACAATGCCAACGATTCAAAGAGCCAAGAGGTCGCTCCGGCCTACGGACCAGGGTACACTCGCGTCGTTGGCCGCAGTAGCTCGAATGCCGACGGGGATCATGCACATCCCGAGCAGTACGCTGCACTGGATCACGGAGAAGATGGCGTCTCGGCCGATCTCAATGCCAAGATGCGGGAAGCGAGCGGTGGCGATGCGCTTCCTGATTACGACAATCCTACACCTGCTCCAGAGTACTCCAACCTGGGTGACGGCGGCGCTCAAACGGGTCCCTACAGCCTCCCCAGGTCTGCCGCCCCTGCCCCGCTCTACAGCACGCCTCGCCCTGCTGCACCCGCCCCCAACCCCAACGCTGAAGGCTCGCACTACGACTAGCGGGTCGCGGGGGTGTTTGTGCCTTGCGTTGTTCCTTGCGCAAGTTGATTTGTTCGTGTTTTGGTGACAGGTGTTTTCTTTTCGCTCGTTCTTGTTTTGCTAGTTTGATCGACTTGAATGAAACTCGTAGTTTTGTGTCTTGATACTCCATTCCGTTGCAGCACAGCACCATTGGTTTGTCGTGCATGGTTGTTGGACGAGAAGGGTGCAAGTGCAGCACCGGAGGTACTCCCGACACCGACTCATGGCTTGGTTGTTTTGCCGTTTGTTAATGTGTTGATTTTAGGTTCAGTCTCATTTCGATCTTTTGGTGTTGGTACATTGCATTTGGAGCGCAACACGCTTTCGCTCGCACTTTCGCTTTGTTCGTTGTTTTCCTCACTTTTGACCCCCTGTCTCTACTGCCTCGATGAGTGTTTTTGTGTGTGTATGCGTATGAGGAGGGGGGATGTTGCTTTCTCGACCATCATGTCGTCGCAGAAAAAGAAGCAACCGCAAGGAACGCGACGGTTCCACAGCCAAAATAGCAGCTGGATGCGAGCGTTCAACTTTGCTCTTCCAATTCACACCCTTCGTGGGCCTCTCCTGGCAATTCCACTCTTGTGATTCGTGTCAGCTTGGTCGATCCAGCGAGCGGCCTTCCAATCTCTCTGAATCGGTGTTGAAATCGGTGTTGGAAATTGCTTTTGGGAAATTGTGCGCAAGCTGAAACTT